TTTGTTTGTGGAAAGTGTGAGTTGATGCCTTAATCCTGATTCAAATGACCATAATGGGAATCTTTCTTAATTAAAAGAGGAGGGGCTGTTGAGATGGCTCAACTAGTAAAGGCACCTATCTCCAAGCCTAACAGTCTGAGTTCTATCTCAAGTCTCACATGGTGAAAGAACTGGCTCTCACAAGTTGTCCTCTTCTGACCTCCACATGTGTGCTGTAACATACATGTTTATACACATACATACATATACATGCATACATGCTCATATACACTAAGATAAATCAATATAATTTTCTAAAAACTGTTTTAAAGTGGGGAGGGATGATGGAATATACCTCAACCTAACACTAACTATTTCTCTGTAGTTGTCCTTTATTTCTAAATGTCCTGTGTCCTTACAAAGTCACATAACTTTGTAAATCTTCTATCTTTTTAACGTAAGATAACCTTTTATGTGCCTTTGCTTTTATAGTTCCTAGTTTTGAAGTCAAAATTCACATAAGCCAAATGATTTTAAAAAGCAGTATTTCTTCAAGAATGGCAATCCTCAACCTGTACGTATCTTATTTTAAGTGACTAGATAGTGGGTAATTTATTGAAGCTTCCCATTGTGGCTCAGTTTCTTTGATCCCATTGTGAATGATACACTGCTAGGGAAAAATTTAATGAACAAAAAATGATATTTTAAATTTTAATGCTACTTACTATTAATATCTGTGTTTATTATCCCAAGTAACAAAAAACAACACATTTTATTCTTACCAATATGCAAATTTAATAATATAGCACATATTTTAAAATTCTCTATTAAGAAGAGTTGTCATTTTAACTTTCAAATTTGAAATTTGATTGATGTTCTTGTAATTGTCACAAAGAAGGAAAAAAAGACCTTTCTAAGCTACTAATTGTACCCCAGCACAGTTCAGAATGCCTGCCTACTGTTGAAATACGTAAGCCTGAAGCAGATACACTAATGAATTCATATGTGTTAAATGGTAGATCACCTATTACAAAGTGAGAGGGCTTAGTGGTTAAGAGCACTCACTGCTCTTGCAGAGGACTTGCCTTTGGTTCCCAGCACCCACATGGTCCCTCACAACTCTCTAATTCTAATTCCTGGGGATCTGACACCTCTTCTGACCTCTGTGGGCTCCTGCTTGTATGTGATACACATACATACACTTAGGCAAACACAGATACTATAAAGCTAAATACACATTTAAAACATTCCAAAGTAAAAGATTATATATTAACATTGGGGAAGAAATAAGATTCAAAATTAGAAAAGGGTATAAAATGGAAACATTTTTAGGATCTCCTGTGAATAGCAATAGATATACAAAGAAGCCCAGAACAGCTCTTGCTTTGAAAGAACTTAAAGCTGCAAAAGGCAAACAAATAGAAAGAAGCACAAATTACACGGTGACAAGTAGTCACTGCATGGTGCAGACTGCATAGCATCTAGACTTAAACATTTTGACTGCTGAGTCCTACTATTAAATGCCTTGTGTGTCTAACCAAGCAATGCCACTGAACTTTTATAGTTCATTTGTCTACTTGGATCTAGAACTTTACAAATGAATAAGGGCTGGAGAGATGACTCAGCAAATAAGAGTGCTTACTGCTCTTGTAGTGTCCCAAGTTTTGTTATCAGCACCCACACCAGGCAGCTCACAACTGACGGCTTGTAATTCCAGCTCCTGGGGATCCATTGTCTTCTGGATCTGGCTTTCACAGACACTGTTTTCTCTGCACATGCCCTCACATAGACTCGCACATGTAAACATAATTAAAAACAAAACAAGAAATAAATGTCAAGTTAGAAGTAAGGTACAAAGGAAGACTCCTCTCCCTACACCCACATTTATACACACACAAGTAAGGTTAGTGTGAGTTTATGAAGTAAAGACATTAAGACTTCTCAAGTACCAGAGGAGCTAGGTAATAAATCTTTTCTTTAGATCACAGAAACAAGTCACTCAGGACTTCATTCTGGAGACTGAAATAGGTAGAGGAGTTCACAGAGAAGTCTGAGAGCTGCCATTTCATCCTGTTGGACCTCAGAGTAGGAATTTAAGGAGAGGGCTGTAAAAGTACTCCATCTGGCCCTGGTAGCCATAACGTAGGAGCTCATGGAAAGACCTATGAAGCTGTCTTGCCCGCTTTCCCCAACCTCCCAAGGATAATGAAGTCCTTCATGGTTACCCTGACATTGGCAAACTAACCCATCACACAGGGAAGAAGACCCTGTGTCTCCAGGCAAAAGTAGACATCAGTAAGATGGCACGGTGTAAGGCTTATACAATCACAAAATGAACTAGACGTGAAGAGTGCAACCTTCATTTTGTGTGGGGGGGTTAAAAAGTGTGGGTGCACATGCCATAGTGTGCACGTGGAGGTCAGAGGACAACTTGGGGGAGTTGGTCTCTTCCTCTATCAGGTGGGGCCTGGTGATCAAACTCAGACTGTCAAGCCTGGCTGCAAGTGCCCTTCCCCAGAAAGTGACCAAGCCAGACTAAGTGAAATACTAGAGAGGGAGAAAATACATCTGCAAGGACTAGTGTTAAGGTGCATGTGAAAGTACAAGACAGTACATATGGTTTATTCAGGAAAATAAGGCAAGATTTATACGTTTGTAACATGAATCAAGGAGTAGAAGATTACAGTTAGATGGGGACCAAACAATGAAAGACTTAAAAGCATACCAAATGAAAGAGGAACCATTGAAATGTCTGAATCTGGCTTCAATATAACAAAAGTTGAATTATCATTCTTCCATGTGACTGGCATTGATGAAAGTTGGAGGGACTCAAGCAGTGGTTCTCAACCTTCCTAATGCTGTGACCCTTTCATACAGTTCTTGTTGTGGTGACCCCCAACCATTAAGTTATTTTCATTGCTATTTCATCACTGTAATTTTGTTACTGTTATCAATCGTATTATAAATACCTGTTATGCCGAATATCTGATATGGTCCCCCTGGAAAAACAGTTGTTCAAACCCCAAGGGGTCATGACTCATAGGCTGGGAATCACTGGACTAGAGGAAAGCAAGTCAGATACAGATAGTTAGCTGTAACATTGTAGGGACCTGGTGGCAAAGGAGCCTGAGAGAAACCAGTGGATTTGAACTGGCTTTTATAGGAGCTTAAAGCTGAGCCAAGGGGTCTATGACACCTCTTTCACCACTGGCTTGGCTAGCTGTTATCAAATTGTTAATCAGAAAACAGATCAAAGAGAATAATGGGGGAAGTGACTTGAATTCAGAAAAGCCTCAGATAAGCTGCACTGTTGTAATATCATGCTAATACTCGTTTCTGCCCACATTACAGTGTGATTTGGAAGGAATCATGCCAAATGTTACCATCAGCTTGAATCTCCCCACCAATGGATCTCCACTTCAAGATTTTATCGTTCATCCTTGTGTGACTTCTCTTGACTCAGCCATTCTGACTTCCAGTAGCATTGATACGATGGATGATTCTGCATTCAGTGGGCCTTATAAATTCCCATTCACTCCACCTTTAGAGTCATTCAACCTATGCCACTACACTTCTCAGGTAAACTGTCTCAGAAGAGTTGATACTTTGCTGATACATTGATAAATGCTCCTGTGAGAGAATTTTTCATGAGTTATTTACAAGACAGGAAGGGGTGGATGAAGATAAAAGTTTGCTTTTCTGAATGTAGCTCTAATATCTGTAGCAGCATTAATTTTCAAAGTCAGTGAAGTTTTTTTCTTTTTAATCTTTGGCTAAGAATCCAAAGTCATGGGATAGACCCTGGTATGATTTAGTCATAGTTTTGAATACAAACAAAAAAACTCTAACCCCAGGAAATCTTAGCCAACTACACATATAATATTAGCAGTAACTATCTATGTTCATGGAGGTGGGGGGGAGACACGGGACACTGTCCTAAGCTCTTTGTGTGTCTTTTTCTAGTAATGTCAACAAATCTTAAGATAGATGTTATCTCCATTTTATAGATGTTGAAAGTCTTAGAGAAGTTAAATGATTTGCACAAAATTCTCTGATAAGTGGCAAAGCCTGGGTTTGAACCTCAGTCTTCCAAATTCCCAAAGCTTGGCATGCTTTCTACTATATCCTGTTATTTGTCTCTTGTACTAATTATCATCCAGTTAGATTAGAAAATCTTCTTCAAGCCAGGTTGACTAGAAGTAATCCATTTTGGAAGGTCAACAGGAATTCTCATTATTCAAGAGAAGAAATAGATCTAGGCTATCAGAGAATTAGAACCAAAGTTAAAATCATTCTACACTGGCAGTCTCCCTTGTCTCACCTCTCCTTCCCAGGACTTCCTGTCTTTTGGGCTTCTCTGCTTATGCATGCTTTTACAGCTCTAGGACCTACATATAGGAGAGCATCTCTCATGTCTTGTTTCAGATGCACCAATGAGATGATTAGCTCACACCAGCATACAAACAATTGCCTCTTGGGTCAATCATTAATGACCAGTTAAGCTATTACTGAGCTAGGGGCTGGAAAGGAGAAACAGTAGTCACAGGATAGGAAAAGAGCATCTGGAACTGTGGGAACAGTCATCAGTTTATGTAGAGGACGACCCGTACTACATGGAAGAGCAAGAGCAGGAAAAAGTATATGCTTTCTTGGGGTTAAGAGCACTGGCTGCTGCTCTCCCAGAGGTTCAATTCCCAGCAACCACATGATGGCTCACAACCATCCGTAATGAGATCTGGTGCCCTCTTCTGGCCTGCAGGGATACATGCAGGCAGAACACTATACATAATAAATAAATCTTAAAAAAAAAAAGAAAGAAAAAGAAAAAAAAAAGAGGAGGAGGAGGAGATACCTTTCTCATCCCTGTTCAGAGAGGTAGAAGAATGTGCCCTCAGGATGAATGTAGATCCACCACCACCATTGCTGTTGTTGAAAGCAGTGTAGAACAGCCCTCTAGTTTTAAAGTATATATTTAATTTGTCTATAATATGTGTGTGTATCTTGTAAATAATATATTATTACAGGGCTTTTTTCCCCTGTCACCGTTTGTATCTTAGACTCATTAGCATGAGAATTATATTAAGAATCATGTCTGTTTTCAGGTCCCTGTCCCACCAATATTGGGCTCTTACAACATGAAAGAAGAAGAAGCACAACTAAAAATAACAGTTAATTTAAAACTTCATGAAAGTGTAAAAAATAATTTTGAAATCTGTGAAGCTCATATACCTTTTTACAACAGGTAGGGATAAATAATATGACACCATGATTCCTGTCCTCTCTATATAGTCCTACTGCCCCCACAATAAAGTGTCGCTTCACTTAGCATATTTTAAAAATCTAAATAATTTTGTTATTCAAATGAATACTGATTCTGAACTAAGATGTAGTCGTTAAAAAAAAAATCTATTTGCCTTTAAATGGTGCCTCATTTTTTTTTCCACTTAAGCTTGCAAATAAATTCCAAGTTTAAGTCAATATATCTTCCTCAAGGACCATTTCCCCACTGGCTTTATTTCTATCAGTTTCCCTGAAGTCTACATATAAATCAAACTTAACCACTAACAATCTGGTGAATTAGCCAATTAGAGCATAGATCAGTTCTACTTTTACAATGTATTCTGCAGTGTAGCTCTCTACAAAGTGCACTTAATTAGTAAAGTTACAATTTTAATGTTGTACCAATACTTGTGGTAAGAATATACCTATATTTTATAATTGTCTTTAAAGATACTATTGTAATACATAGTTACTGTGAATGTTCATGTGATGTCTGCTGTATTCTAAGATCTGTATTCATTATTCATTCTCTCCTGAAGTTGAAATACAGATTTGCTTTTCTGCTGTAAATAAAAGTAACAAGATTTGACTGTCACTTTAAAATTTATGTCTAAGATTTTTTTGTTTCTATTTTCTTCTTCTTTTTCTTTTTTTGAAGAGGTCCAGTTACCCATGTGGAATACAAAGTTAGTTTTGGTCAACTTGAGGTATTTCGAGAAAAAAGTTTATTGGTCTGGATTATTGGTGAGCAGGGTTTTGTTTATTGATTTTTTTTTCTCATTTTCTGTAGAATCTTCTGTTTTAGAATAATTGGTTGGTACATTTGTGTTTTAGGCCAGAAGTTCCCCAAATCAATGGAAATTAGTCTTTCTGGGACTCTAACGTTTGGAGTCAAGGGCCATAACAAGCAGCCATTTGATCACATTTGCATTGGAAATACAGCATATGTAAAGGTAAATGTATGAAACATTGTATCAAAAACCCTTAATTCATTTCTAAACTTCATATATATTTGTTTAGTGTTTTCTAGCATTATTTTTTAATTCTGCGCCTTTTTTTGTAACTAAGTTCCTTTTTAGAAGAAACATTTGTTGGGGTGAGGGGTGGGGTAGTTCTGTGTTTCTTTTAATTTTTTGTTTTTAAGACAGAATCTCTGCCTTAGCCCAGACTGGTCTCTAAATCTCTATGTAACACTAGCTGACTTTAAGCCTCTCCTAAATGCTCGGGTTATAAGCATGAATCACCTCACTTGACCAGTAGTGGTCATTTTTCTGTCTTATTAAATACTCAAACTTTAAGGGAAATAGTTAAGAATAACCTAAACACTCCAAGTTAAACTACCCAGCTCTTAGTTATCAGATTATGTTTGTATTCAAAAATAAGATACAGCCCTTGACCTCTAGGGCGTTTTCAATAGTACGGCTTGGTGACTGACTGATCAGGACTCACTGCTTTTGGTGCCTCAGAGAAAACATGAGTCTTGGCCACAGAAAACTCCAGACCAAGATAATCATGAAAGTTGACTAATATTCTCATCTGGAAAATGGGTTAAGGGCCAGCAGGATGGTCCAGCAGTCAAAGAATTAACGTCAGTTCAGTCCCTGGATCTCAGGGTAGAAAGAAGCAGCTCTCAAATATTGTCCTCTGACCTCTACATCCACACATGGCATGTACACACAGCACAGCATACACAATACACATGCCTACGTAAACATAACAAGTATTTTCTAAGGTGACTTAGAGAGTGGGAAGAGATAAGCAAGGTTTAGAGGAAGCCAGTGCTAGGAATGTAAGTTCTACATAGGAAGGACAGGAGATTAATTGGGGATATAGGTGACATGCATCTCCTAATCCTTTAGCGGATATTTTATTTAGTTTTTCAAATGGTTCATTTATGAGTGTTAATCTGCAATGGATTCAAGTAAAGAGCATGATGCCAGATACTGTATGAGTCTTATTTGTTCTTTGCTTTATCCTCAACTCTCGTCCAGCACCTAGTACTTAAATACTTGCTGAATATGTATGTATGTATGCATGCATGCATGTATATTGGTAATAGCAGCATGTCTTAATGTAAGTGCCCAACAGATAGCTAAAACGCTAAAATTTGATTCACATGGGAGATCCACCATATATAAGCATTTAGAAGTACCCATTGAAAAGAAAAAGTTGATACAAGGAAATTAATAAGATCATCGAAATAAATGAAAATAAAGAAAGATTTAGAAGAATCAATAAGGAAAATTGAAGGAATAACCAGAAAGTTTACAGAAAAAGAGGATGCTATCAGAGAAGTCAAAGATGCAGGATAAATATCTATAAAAGCAACAGTATTGAGGTTGGGAATACACTGCTAAGAATTCATTTTTCCTGTGTTAGCTTTGAGTTTGCTTACTATCTTGCTTTAAGGCTTATTATTTAAATTCCTGATTTTTTTCAGAAAAAAAATATGGAATGTTACTACATTGTAAAACTAAGGGTAGTTTTTAGAATTTTCTATTCATTTCTTTCTTTTTTTTGCAGATTTTTTTATTTGAATTAGAAACTAGATTGTTTTACATGACAATCCCAGTTCCCTTTTCCCTCCCGTCCACCCCTACTACTCTCCCAACTAAAACCCTACCTTTATATATCCTTTCTGCTCCCCCTGGATGGTGAGGCCTTCCATAGGGTGTCATCAGAGTCTTCATATCCTTTAGGATAGGGCCTAGGCTCATCCCCATGTGTCTTGGCTGAGGGAGTATTCCTCTATGTGGAATGGGCTCCCAAAGAAGTACTGAACTACTACAGGAGGTCCGTAGATTTCTGAGGTTTCCTCACTGAAACCCATGTTCCTGGGGTCTGGATCAGTCCCATGCTGGTATCCCAGCTATCTGTCTGGGGACCAAGAGCTCCCATCGGGGTCTTGGTCAGCTGTTTCTGTGGGTTTCACCAGCCTGGTCTGGAACCCTTTGCTCTTCACTCGTCCTTCTCTGCATCTGGATTCCATTTCAGTTCAGTGATTAGTTGTGGGTGTCGGCTTCTACTTCCACCAGCTGCTGGATGAGGGCTATCTATTGGGTGGTATATAAGTCAGTTATCAACCTCATTATCAGGGGAGGGCATTTGAGGTAGCCTCTCCTCTGTTGCTTAAATTATTAGCTGGTGTCATCTTTGTTGATCTCCAGACATTTCCCTAGTGCCTGATTTCTCTATAAACCTAAAATGTCCCCCTCTATTATGGTATCTCCATTCCTGTTATCTTCTATTCTTCCCCTGACTCAACCTTTCTGCTCCCTCGTGTGCTCTCCTTCCCTCCTCTTCTCCCTCTCATTCTCTCTCTCCCTCCTCTCATTCTCCCAGCTCCCTCCACCCGCTTCCCATGCTCCCAATTTGCTCAGGGGATCTTGACCTTTTCCCCTTCTCCAGGGTTATTAGCTTCTTTTGCAGTGTGGATTGTAGGCTACTAATCCTTTATTCTATGTCTAAAATCCACATATGAGTGTGTACATATCATGTTTGTCTTTTTGTGATTGGGTTGCCTTGCTCAGAATGGTTTCTTCGAGTTCCATCCATTTTCCTGCAAATTTAGATTCCATTGTTTTTTCCGCTGAGTAGTACTCCATTGTGTAAATGTACCACATTTTCTCTACCATTCTTTGGTTGAGGGGCATCTAGGCTGCTTCCAGTTTCTGGCTATTATAAATAGTGCTGCTATGAACATTGTTGAACAGATGTCCTTGTTGTATGAATGCATTTCTCTATTCATTTCTTTCACTTAATCAGTTACAGTCTGATCAAAGGCATATAATAAAATGCATAATATAATAAAAGCACATATATAGAAATGGACCTTATATACCTAACTTCAGCACTGAGAATTATAACACTGAAGCAAGCACAAGCTCTTTGCTTTCAAATTATGTGAATTACTATAAGAGATTGTTACAATCTAAAAATTATTATACATGCACGCACACACAAAATTTGCAGAGAAGAGAGGAGAAAAAGTGTATGTTTTGGGATGTAACTCAGATATGGAGGGCTTGCCAAGATTGTGCAAGGCTCTTGGTTTAGTGTAGGGGGAGGTGTTCAAAAGATAGCAGGATCTTGCTAATGAGAACAGATGAGAACCACAGCAAAGGGAGACTAGAAAGGTACTATTGCCTCATCATCACAGTACATTGTAGTGCTGGCCTTCACAGTGATAACCCGGCATCACCAATGGAATCCAAGGCCTGTCGGTTATATTTAAAAAAGGTTTTCTAGATGAGGGGAGGGATAAATTGATAATAGTTCTGTAAAAGTTAGATTTGGGCCAGCAAAAAAATTAAGAAGAGCAGCCCATCTCCCCAAGTATGAAATAAACTGATATTTCTTCTTGTCATGATTGGGTTTATGTGCTTTATTATAAAGCATATACATTCCTACATATGAAAGACTGTGATTGGGGCTGGAGAGGTGGCACAGTTATTCAGAGTACTCCCAGAAGACTCAGATTCCATTCCCAGCACCCATGTGGTGGTTCACAGCTGCTGCAGCTCCAGTTTCAGGGGATCCAGTGCCCTCTTCTGGCCTCTGAAGGCATCAGGCACAGACACACATGCAGGCAAGCCACCTATACACATAAAAACTAATTAATTAAAAGAAGAACGTGATCTGAATTTATCACAGATAGTCTGCTAAGGGGAAAACACTATGATCTATCAGACGGCACAGCAGAAAGAGCAGTTCTGAGTTCAGATGTATGCTCACTGTGTGCTGTGTACTGAGTACTAAGTACCTCACTGTGTGCTGTGTACTGAGTACTAAGTACCTCACTGTGTGCTGTGTACTGACTACTACCTCACTGTGTGCTGCTGTGTACCGACTACTAACTACCTCACTGTGTGCTGCTGTGCTGAGCACTTCCAAAGAAATGAACTGGTACAAAGTGGGTATGTACACGTTTACTATGTGTTTACACAACTGTTCTTTAGTATGTGGGTCTGAACTTTGTGAACTATCAGGTGAAGCTCTAACCACTGTGAAGGGAAAGGGTGGTTAATGTTCTTGCAAATAAACACTCAATGGACTCTCATTTCCTAGCTTCATTTTAGGATCTCAGATTATACGCTCACTGGCTGTTATGCAGATCAGCATTCAGTTCAAGTTTTTGCGTCAGGAAAACCAAAGATAAGTGCATGTAAGTTATATGGACCCAAACTAAACAGAATGAAAATGGTGCTGTGTTGTCACTACCTAAGGCGCAATTAAATGTAATGAGACTTGGAGATTGGAATGTCTGTGGTTCGGTCCACTCCCTCGTAACCCTTTGTGCACTGTATGTTGCCCTCTAACTTCTGTTTAAATACAGTCTGGATAAGTAGGACCCAATTAGTGTGGGCCTTAGTATATAGTAAATATGGATTTGCTTTGCTCTGGTCCTATTAAACTCTTGTCTGACGTCAATGTATGTAACTTTGAAAACACTAGTGAATGTCTTAAAGCTTTAGTGTCCTCATTTATTAAGGAGAAGTAATAAGGGACTGTTAAGCTCTCTAAAGGCGGTGGGACCCAGGAGAAGAACCTAAAACCGAGGTGGACTAAAGTCTCATGCAGTAGCCAGCTTTATTCAGAGCATCAGACAGTATATACTCTGAGGGTTAAGAGGAGTCACATGAGTAAAGTATGCAATCACAAGGACAAGCCACATGTGATAGACAAGCCACACATTGGCAAAAACATATTTTTCCATAGTGGTATATGATCAATAATAACCAGTTGTAATGAATAATCAAAAGTAAACTCACTCCTATCCACTACACCTGGGAGTGACATAAAAGCACATTCCAGGAACATTGCCATCTTTTTGAAGAAACTGAGGTCACAAGACCTTTGTCTTGTTTTCTTGGAGTTTTCTCACAAGCACTCAAAATTCACCTCCAAGAATGGAGATTCTTAGACTATGTTCCAACAGGACCAGTCAGATGGCTGAATGTGTAAAGACATTTTTTGTCAAGCCTGATGGCCTGAGTTCTATCCATAGGACCCACACAGTGGAAGAAGAGAACTGACTCCTAAAAGTTGACCTGTGACACTCATGTGCGCACGCACACCCACACATACACTCCATATATACTAGGTTTCTTTTAATGTGATTTTTGAAAAAATGTTACTAAAGTAGAAATGACAATACTATGTACCTTATGATTTTTATGAATAGAGTATATTTATTGAGCATTAACCTAAGATTTAGTAATAAATGTGATTATTTTAAAATTTAAATTATTTTTAATAAATCCATAGCCAATAAACATTATTTAGCACCTTCTCTGTCCTAACAATGGGCAAGCAATAGAAAGATGGTTTCCTGCCTTCATTGACTTCCTTGGTTGTAAAATGCAAATATATGTGCATATGTATACATTATGTGAAAATATGTATATATTTTAGATGAATATATAAGGAGATGAAAGGCAAAACTTAAAATTATTTAATTCATATAGGTGGCATAGAAAAGTAGAATGAAGTAGCTAGGTAAAAGTAAGGGATGAGAAGAATGTCAGTTTATATATCTAGATAGGAATAATCCCATTTATGAAAGTTCTCAAATTTAAGTACATTTGTTTGTTGGTTGCTTTGGGTATTGCTTGGGATGCAACTCAAGGCCTCATGCATGCCTGGCAAGTGTCCTATCACTGAGCTACACCCCTAGCCTCAGACTTAGATTTCTAAGACTAAAAATTGGAAGGGTAGGACAAGAGTTTGTGCCTGATTGCTTCAGAACTAAGAAACTCTGAACCACAGGATCTAGGCAGTCTCTGAATAGCAGTAGTTCTGTGTAGTGGAGTCAGATAAGCCAGCATTTAACCTCCCTGTTGTCCCTGTGTTTTTTCCTTTAGCAGTCTTTTACTGTTTTTAGATGAATTGGTGAATACCTAGTGTATATGTTTTTTTATGAAAGTATAATATTGAACAATTATCAGTGTCTAAATACAGATGAATAAATATTTTTGATCTTCTGTGAGAAATGTTCTCTCTTTAGATAATAACTAAAATATGTTTGTGTTTTATTAATATTTACTGAGCACATTTTCCAGAAAGCATAATAATGAATAGAAAGTTTCTATAATATACCTGTTCTTTAATACATCAGTAATATACTTAATTATTTATTTATTAATTTATTGAGATGAGATCTCTAATATATAGCCCAGGATCTCCTCGCCTCAGACTCACAAGTACTGGGCTAAAGACACATGCTACCATGCACAGCTTCTACTTGCCCTTTATAAAAGTACTGAATGTGAGAGTTCATTTCAGATGAATCATTGTACCTATCTTTTTATTCCTTCAAACTGATTTTGCCTCATACTGAGTATACAACTTGGTTCTGCAAATAGTTTAGTGAAAAAATTCGTTTTAGTAGTAGCATTTTCACCAACTGTGTGCCAGATATAATTTCTATGTGTTTTATGTACATTAACTCATTATGTCTCACCACACCTTATTTGTTGGTATCCCTGTTTTATGGGTGGGGACACTGATGGAACAGGGATGAGGTGAGGGTTAGATGGCTAGCAAATGACATGCCTGAGATTCAAACACAGACAGATGGGCATGGGGGCCTGTCCTTTAGTGTGCTGTGCTTCCTTCCAATGTTACTAAGTTAGAAAAAGGAAAGGTAATATATCCTGTATTGTGTTCATTTTCAAGGCCATAAAGAAAGGTAGAAAAAGCTGAATTATATAGTCAGTGACACAGTAATAAAACTGTGTATTTTTCCAAGTAAGCATAATTTTATCAGTTTTATAGCTATGAAACTTTGGTTCAAGGAGGTTGCCGTTTGTCCAGAATTGCAAAGCTGATAAAAACACAATGCTTAATTGGAGCCAACCCATAAGAAACCAAGAAATGAGCCTCCTCAGAGTGTTGTGAGGAAGTCAGGTGATGATTCGTGTTTCCAACTCTTAATTTGAGTGATGACTACGACTAGAATTTGGACTTGGTAGAGGTCATAAAAAGAAAACCATGAAGAAAGTAATGGCTCATTAGAAAATCAATTAGAGATGTAGGGAAAATAAACATTTGGTATAAATATAAGTTCCAGTGTGGTTTGCCCAAATATTTATGAGCTCATTTTAATAGGATATAAGTAGTAATAAAGCCTCAATAGAGTAAAATAAATATTAATATTTCAAAGTTATTACCTTGACATGACTATACTACACAAATTCAAAATCTGATAGCTTTGTTCTTTTATTGGGTTTTTGCAAAGATTAAACATTTCTGTCATTAATTTCTTTTCTTTTTCCTTTGTAGATCGGAAACTAATTTCTTCTGACTATTACATCTGGAATTCTAAAGCACCTGCTCCAGTAACATATGCATCATTGTTACCATGATTTTCTTATATTCAAATGGGATTTATTTGATGGTAACCTTCTATAGTAGAATCATAGTATTTTTATTTCTTAGATGTGTTCATATGATCCGTGACTGAAAAATCACCGAGTGATTCCTTTGTCAAAACATTCATATCTAATGTTTTTAGTCTGATTAAGTGTGAAAGAATATTTTCAAGGCTAATGTCTCCATTTTTTTGTTACCCTCTGACTTCATGCCATTGTGACTCAGAACATATAAAAGTAGTGATTTATTTTGATGTAAGACGAGTCTTGGTTCTCCTTGCCATATGTTCTTTCCTGTGCCTGTGGCAGGCCTCCAGTCTCATTCCCTGACAGGACAGGTCCAACTGTGGCATCCTGTGGGGCACACCGTGCTAATCAACCAGAGCCCCTTCCTTGAGTAAGAGCTCAGCCTTCTCCTAGTGTAGTTTTAAGCAGCTGTCCTTTGGGTTGTACTTGACTTACAAGGAAACTATGTGCTTATCCAAACCTCAATACAAACATCATGCCATCGCAGAATACCCAGGATCTGGGTAAAATAATCATAAATCCTTTCTTTCAAAGCAGCCAGAGGAGATAAAGTTCAAATAGTAACCTGTTCTTCATCGCATCTCTCCTACTGGCCAATAAAGAGCCTGAATAATTCTATTTGATGTTCTAGAGCTACTTGCTTTCTGAGACTGGAACTCGTGCAGCCCAGACTGCCTGGGACTCACTGTGTAGCTGAGGATGACCTTGAACTCCATCTCAAGTGCTGGGATTACAATGGTGTATCACCAAGTCCAGCTTATGTCCTTGTAGGGATCGAACTCAGCTTTGGGCATGCCAGGCAAGCACCCTACTAGCTGAGTTATGATGCTAACCCCTCACATTCCTTTAACTAACTTAATAATCTGCTGGAATGATGCGTGTTTAGGATGCCCGTCAACCTAAGAAGGCTGCAGTAACTCAGAAGATGAGAATAGTGATCTATGATTATTTAGACAGTTTTAAAAATAATTTTAGATATTATACTCTTTGTTTTTTTAATTACAGTCTGTTAGTGAATGAACTCAGGTAAACAATCAAAAGCCTTTTCATGGGCAGAAAGTATCATTTACATTTATTCTTTAAGTCTGTTCCTGTTGTTTTCTTTTTAACATTTTCTTGAGTCTTTCAAAACCATCTCTTTATCCTCTACCCATTTCTACTCACACATCATATGCTGCTTCAGAGCAGTGTGTTGTCATCAAGTTGGACTTTAAGTGACCATTTAAACAAAAAAGAAATCTCAAGATACTGAGAACTTAACTGATGCCAAATTTAGAAGCCTGACTGCCCCCCAAAAAAGGAAGAGTTACAAATTAATATCTAATTAGATTTATCCTGGGTTCTACTTCTTTTTTGTCTTTTTTAAAAAATGAGTCTTCTAAAAACAGGCTTAGAAAAAGCTGCTGACCCTTTGAAGGAGAGTCACAGCCACTGGAGGAAAGTGTATAAACTTAGGACTTGAAATAAAGCTTTAATTAGGATCAGTCTTCCTTATTATAAACCCTCATTGCCTGCAAAGCAGTGCTACAGAATAAAGTTCTGTTTTCATAGTCATCCTAAGTAAAGAGGAGAGAGGACTTGCCTGACCTGGACATTAACTTGCTGTCCCTTCTCAGCCAATGGGAGTTAGTGGTAGAAATTCTTTTGTGAGAAGAAAACACTGCTCTATAACGGGGTTTTTATCACTCATCAACTCAAAGCTTAAGATTTTACTTTTAGTGGTGCCGTTTGGAAATTTTGACTGTATAAATGCTTAGCAAATTATACTAAGGAAGATGAGATACATTCATCTACTGAGTAATGAAAGATTCAGTATATAATCCTTGAAGCAAACTCTCTTCATAAACAAATTAGAAAAACCACTGACCTCTAATTTGACATTTCTAGAAACCTGGGGAAAATCTAGGGGTTCCTAGAAAAGCATGGTGATGGCGAACCAATGCCATCTGTTGCCATTCCGTTCTAACACAACACTAGGGAACTAAAAGCCAGCCCACATTTCATCCCATTGAGATCAGCTGGGCACACTGATGCTTTTGATTTTGTCTAGAAACCTGTCACTTCAGGATAATTTCTGAAGACAAAGCTTGTTCCCAGTTTGGTAGGTGACCTGTTTAATGTTTTCCCTGTGTCTGGGAACTCCTTAGTGTAATTAGCGACCTTTGAACTCCACAACTAATCCTGAGCTATTTTGTATTCCTTACTCATCTTTAAGGCTGGACCTTTCTTTTCTTCAGAGTCCACTGCCACAATTAAAGAAGAAACAGCTGCATTTCAAAGGGATTCCGATTCCAGAAGCTTAATCGTGATTGACATGTTCTTATTCTAAGCTATAAGACACTCTAAGAGTCCTTTCTTTGGTTAGAACTTCAATCATTTTCTAAAAAATTATCTCACTATGGATTTTATTCATTTTCTTTGATAGCTATTCTTTGCATTTTTTTTAACTTGAAAGGTGCTTTGCATTTGCAGTGAATATGAGCATCGACTTCCAGTGACAGATTTGCATGGTGTCAGACCTAGGTGCAGTATTGCTGAATTCTCTTTTAGTGCCAAGACACCGTTATGAAGTCTGATATCTATTCTGTAACTATTCTTACTCAACCCAAAAGGGTTAAAGAAAGTTGTAAATACCTGAGAATGAACTCTAAAAAGATGGGTCATGATTTGGGTACCTGTTCTCCTTTTTTTTTTTTTTTTATTTTTACTAAGCAATATTGTAAAGTCCTCAATGTAGTATTAGATAATGGGGATGTTTTATACTGTTAAAAATATTTGAGCCTGTCAACTTGGAAGTAAACAAACAGGCTCCTCGGCAATCTCAGGAGTCTTTAAATTTTATTTAAACATTAGCCTATCTCAAAATCTTTTTTTTTTCATGCCATCTCAGTATTTCTACTGTTACAATATTGTGATCTTAGATTTCATGTGCTATGTTTAACGGCAGACATTTCGCACATAGTAACCATTGCCGATTTTTTTTTTTCCTGTTTTGTTGTTACAATATTTAAAAACCCTTGACAGGCATTCATAGATTTGTCCACAGCCTCTGGGAGGTAGAAAGGTGGAGTTCCTCTGCAGGGATTGCTACCATAGCAGAGGAGTTGTTTCTAAGACAAAGGTCAAAAAAGGGATGTTAATAAACAGTCCTCAGGTTTAAGGGACTTTTTTAGGATTACATCTTAAATTCCAACAAATCAGATTTAGGAGTTGCTGAAAGTGAAATTGATCCATCCCTCATCCAAACTTTGCAATACTTTCCTGTTCCGACATCATTTAGATAGTTAGCTGTATTATCAGATTAGAAACCATTGTGCCCGCTGCTGAAAGGGAAAGGAGGCAAAAAGCTAAACATGGGATGAATTCTGAACCTTTTAACCTGGCTGAAGTATGTTGGTTGCTGTTATGCAAATACCTTCAATCCTCTGCTAAGTTCCGTGGAAATAATTTTCTTGAATGACAGGTTGATTCAGCAAGGATTCAGTCGGTGATTAATCCCCCTTTGATCTAGGGTATTTCACTTAACTACCAGTTACCTCGTTCTGACAAAGTGCAACTGAGATTAGGGAGATCACTAGAACACTACCAGCCCGTGCATTTATTCTCTATAACCTTTTAAAGCAAGGGCCAAGAATGCAATTTATCCTCAGTTTTTGAAGATGCAAAGTCCTGTCTGCTGAGTTAGAAAGTCAATTGAATATCAAATGAAGTTTATTTCTTACGTAACAAACCTTTCTCTTTTGCTCTGCCTAACAATGATATTAGAAATCATAGGCTTTGAAGAGAGTGAAACAAAGGCTACATCCCAAGTTCAGCTGCTTGTTTTGTTTCCTGTGCTACAGTGCATGCTGACTGCCCCAGATAACCCAGGAATCAAAGGGCTGGCCACAGTTATGCTGAGAAAACACTTGTGTTTCTGAGCCTGCAATGTCTTCTCATCACCCGGCCACCCTCAGCACCATTAGAAAATACACTGCATGGTACAGAAACCCAGTTAGGGAAGCATGCAGCACAATCTTGTTAGTTTTCTTCTCTTGAGGAAGTAGAACCTTATATTCTCATTAAAATAATTGCTGCATTCCTTTTCCCATAAATGGTGTCATTGCCAAACTATGTGAAAGTCGTTCTCTTAAGTACTTCCTGCCTTAAACTTTATCTTTTCTCCCATATATAAAATTTGAGATAGTCTGTGCAGTTCTAAGAAAAAAAATTATGATGTGTTTTATGCTGTTTTAAAAAGAACTCACTTTTTAAAACTATTATTAATATTAATATTTATTTTTCAAGTTGTCAAGATGTATTCCTTAAGTATACTTTATGACATACACACAATTATTTGTAACAAAATTTTCTTAATTATTAAATTTTTACTAATGAATAAACTTTATAAAGAAGACAAAACATTCTAAGAAATATTGAATAGTTGCTTATTATCCTAGTGGTAATCTACAATAAAAGTTGGGGTTTAAATCATTTTGTATGCTTTTTTACTCAAACCTTTTGTAATTAATTTAAAAATCAAAACAACTCAAAGAAATGCATACATAAGTTTGTGACATACTGGCTGCCTGTAGTTCTAAAATCATCAGTTTTCAAATACTTTGGAAGATCAGGAAAAAAAATAACTGTAAAAGATAGTGTTAAAGAGCAAGATTCTGTGGTTATGTTGCTAAGAAACTTGTGTTTTTAGTAATTAACTGCTCCATATAGTAAATAGTGAGGTAATAAAGTATTCACTATAATTTAAAAGATGCCATTTTGGAATATACATATATAAAGCATAGGTGTTTGTGTGTTTCTTCGATGTGTTCCATGCCTGTGTAGCTGAGTTTACCTGTGAGCCATTTCAGCATTGTTTCAGAAAGAATATTGTGAAGTTGTCTATTCAGACAAACAGCATTAGTTTACAATATTGAAGAGATTGGTTAAAATGAAAATTGTTAAGGGTCCCTTGAGCTTTGTCTTAGAAAAAGGTTAAAAACCTTGGAGAGCTTGTGGCTTTTCTTTTTCTTCTCCACCTTTTTCACACATGTAACACAGTGTAACATAGGTAGCCCGGAGGACTATGGTATAACTCTCATTCACCAGCCACCCTGTAAGCCTGATACTCTGAGGTCTAGGTTTTTCTTATGCACTGAATAATTTGTGTGATTTACATCTGTGTGGGCTAGTGTTTGATGCTCCAGCCTAACAGATGATGGCTGAATGCCCAGGAATGGAAAGATGGGTTTTGCTATGGAAGGTAAAAATTTTCAAACTGCATGTATCCTTTAAATGACCTTTTTTAGATGATAGTTTCTGTTTTAAAAATTCATTTTTGATAAAAGCTAGTACTTATGATAATTATAAAAATTAAAAATAGTTAATCCTCCTTAAATTTTTATCTTTTCTTCAAGGGACTTGAGTGCCCTCTGCAGGTTATAAGCAAATAATTCATGAGTATAATTTAAAACTGTGGTTTTTCCCTACTCAAAAAGCATCACCTGCTTATTTCAAATCAAAAAAAAAAAAGGGGGGGGGAACAGTGATCCCATTTGTATTGTTCAGTGTTAATTGGCAGTAATCAAATTGAGAATTTCCTTTCTTTGCTAGTTTTATTGTTGAGGTTAGTACAAGGAATGCTATACCAGTGAAATTTCCATAATTTTATCTAGGCCTCTTTCGATGTTTGACCTACAGTAGCACACACTCCCTCACTGTAAGAAAATATGAGGAATATTTAAATAGATTTAAATTTATTCAAAACTTTGAGAATAGCTTCATTTTCCCATTTATCTTTTTTAAAAACCATGCATTTGAAATTGCAAGCCCCGTTTTTTCAATTTGTACCAAGTAAAATTACATGAATTCTAAAACTTACAACTTTTAATAAAGTTAAATAATTTCATGAACGAAAAAAATTAAGTTGCACAGGTAATCTAGTGACATCATGTAAAGGTTCAATTTTGAAAAGAAACCAGTAGATCTTGTTTTGGTATTGTTATTCTATAGGTTTTCCAACCGATAAAAGTAACATTTTCCTCTCCGAGGTTTAGAATATACACTATGCAGAATACATGAGTTCCTCAATTTAATGCTTACTTTCTTTTGGGCACAGCAGATTCGTCTGTAAAGAAAGCTCATTCTGTGACATTGTAGAGCTGCAGTGTTATGGGGACTTCTGGTTCAATTAACTTAGGGAGGCTGCTAGGCAAGCTAAATATGAGAACAAGAGAAGTGACTTGATCAAATTCATAGAAACAGATTTTTCTTTTTTGCAAGCAGTGTAATGATTCTGATCATCAGCCTTGAAAAGCAAATTAGAACAGGCAGATGACTATTGAAAATTCTTCCAGTGCTCCGCTGTTGCTACTCTGCTAGTCATGGCTCAGCCAGAGGCAAAGGAAGCACACACTGTTTGGGGTTGACAAAGGAAACATCATTAAAGTGAATGTTTACATTGTGTTTATTGAAGTGTTCAAAGTATATGTGTTGCCTCTTCAAGCAGCCTGCTGCTCTTCAGAGGATTAAAACTGCATAGCTGATTGATTGTAAAAACCAGTTACTTAGACATTATACAGACAGATGGCTTTTAAACAGAATAGTGCTTTTGCTTGTATTTTTTTTTCTCTAAAAAAATGTATCCCATTCAGGGTGAGGGACCCTCACTTACTCATATACATTCTGCTTATTTCCAAGTCCTCTGGATGACTTTCCTCAAAAACTATTATGTTTAAGTGATGATTTTATTTCTTAATACACTAAAAATAACAACATGAAAACAATTATGGTTACTATGTGGGGTCTCCCAGAGCTGCATTAATCTTGGACTCCCTCATACAAGTTAAACTGAGAATGGAAGAGTCATGGTATAACAAACATGCCAACCTGGCAAATGAAAGTTTAATAAGTAATATTTGTACCAGTAAATGAGAAAGTTGCCAAAAAATATAGAATGTTCATCTTTAATTTTTTTGTTCTAGTTTTTTTTCTTTTTGTTCTTGTTTTGTCTTTTGAGAGCCCTGGCTGTCCTGGAGCTCTCTCTCTGCCTGTAGACCAGACTGGCCTGAAACTCACAGAGATCCACCTGCCTCTGCCTCCCGAGTGCTGGGATTAAAGGCGTGCGCCACCACCACCCGCCATTACTGATTTTTCTAATATGAGCAATAGAAGTTACTTTTTGATTGTAAAACTATTACAGCATTTAGTAAGGATTAAAGGGCTGGTCTGAGGTAGCCCAGGCAGTCAACAGTGATTGCTGCACAAGCTTGAGGACCTGAGTTGGGTCTCCAGTACCCACATGACAAACCACCATGTAATGGCATGTGCTTGTCATCCCAGCTCTAGAGAGGCAGAGAAAGGCAGATCCCTGGGCACATTAAACCTGAGCAGCAAGGCTGACACCCCAATGACAAACTGAGTCTCAAAAAACAAGGTAGATAACTCCTCTGGCCTCCATGCGTGTGGCTAAGGTCACTTGCATCCACACAATATACACACACAGGTTAAAGTACTATACTCTCAGCATCCCTAAGGTAGTGTTGACTGCAAGTTCACTATATAATCCCTTGTGAATCGGCTACCTTCTAAAGGACTGTTTTCTTAGGTTCACTATCAAGACAAATTGTTAATCTCTTATTTCATTCTCTGTTCCTGTAACATATGGAGCATCCTACATTTATTATTCCATAGCTTAGAATCAATAAAAAATCCTTTTTCTATAATGAGAAAATTTTTATCAATCTAAAATAAAGCAGGTTCCAATCCTCTGATGTGGCTTTTGAAAATCTGTAACCAGAAGGAGTTAGTGATGCTTATATCAAAAGGGTTTCCTGTCCGTGTGTGTGTGTGTGTGTGTGTGTGTGTGTGTGTGTGTGTGTGTGTGTGTGTGTGTGGTGTGCATATGTGTTGTTATATTTGTTGTGTTCTGAGAATCGAAACCCAGGGCTAAGCATGTGCCCCAACACTGAGCTACATTCTCAGCCCCAAGGAATTCAACTAATCTGACTGTCACTGGCCTTAAGCCCAAAATGCATCTTCCTATACTATTCATTGCATTTAATATTGAAACCTAAACATCAGCTACATACATTAGAATGAAAAGTTGCTGAGAATTCCAGAGCCAACTGGAATCCATAATGTACTTAATTCCTAATTTTAAACTTTTAATGTAGTTTTCCTATTATATGGCAATCCAGAACTAGGCAGACAAGAAGGTGGTACAGATTTGGATCATGTGTTATAACATCTACAATGTATTGACATTTTAACATGACAAAGTATTTTTCACCATTGTCCATATAGAAACTGTACAAAAGAATGATGGTGATGGCTGAATCGCCAGGTAGACAAGAGGAGCATCCCAAGGACCAGCATACATCTCTGTAGGTCTGACTGACTAGCCTGGAAACTGTATGGCAGAAAAACAAAAAGTAGATCATAAAGAGCCCATTTATGCAAGACAATACCTTTTGCCTCCAAGTGGTTTGGGTTTGGATGTGTAGAATATAGTAATTAAATTCAGTCAGTCTAATATGCCAGGTTAAATACATACATGAACATGCCTTCCTACTGAATATGTGTTTTCCCATTGTTCTGTTTTATTGCTGCATTGTCAATGAAGAAAATATATGTATAGATAGTATTAAAGGGAAAACATGAAGAAATTTTATATAATCTTATCAATACTGTTATGCATATAATTTGTAGCCACTTGTTGGTGTCTAGTTAAATTTCTGCCTTGTAACATTTCTAGCCCTCTATTCATTGGAGAGGGAGTGTGTGTTTATGTGTTCTCAAATTGATTTATTTTACTATGCAAATCCTTTCCCTATCTCCTACCTAATTTTTGGCAGTAACTTTTATCTTCACAACTTTTTATTACCAAAGCCACTAGGAACAAATAAGCAGCTTAGAAGTGGTGTAACAAGAAGCAGAATCTTTTGTGTATAACACAGACAGTTGTCTTCCTACCTAAACAAGTCAACAACTGTTGTTAGATGATTTGAGTGTTAACTGTGTATATTAAAATTTCCCTTTGTAGGCTGTGCTTTGATTGCATTCTACACGGGTAACTTGGACTCTGCTGCCATTTCTAGCACCCAGAGAAGCTAGTAACATGTATGACACAACTCACTGCAGGGCATTCAGTCTGTAAGACGATGTTAGTTAAGGTTGCAGCCCTGAGAGACTCCAGGCTTTGCTTCAGTGAACCTCAGAAATTCCCTTCTGGAACTTATTCTACAACAAACAGCTTTGTAGGCTCCCCACTGTTTCCCACAGGCAAACTTGATTTGATTTGATATTATATTAAAACCACATAAAACCACAAAAAATAGCTTTCATTCGTCCTTGTATAGTGATGAAATTGACTTGCTGATATCTAAAAGATGTGTGTGATTATTCTCTCTCTCTCTCCCCGTCTCTCTTTGTGTGTGTGTGTGTGTGTGTGTGTGTGTAGTGATGGAACACAGAGCCTTGCACACATGCTAAGCCAGTTTTCTGTCACTGTTCTCAGCCCCCAGTGATATTTTAAACATTTCTTTTAACCATACGACCACAGAATAGTTCTCCAAGTCACAAAGGCCTGATTGCAAATCCTAATGCGCTATTTACAAGCTGGGTGGTCCTGGAGAAGTTATTTAACCTTTGTGTCTTTGCTTTCTTGTTTCTTGAGTTACTGTGATCATTGATTGATACCAAGTTAGAAGTTCATAAGTATTTAATGCCCATTCCTTTCTATATCAAAGATTTGTGACCACCTTTCCATGGACTTGTCTGTGTTTAAATGCCCATGGTTTTT